AGCAGATTATCTGAGAGGCTGGGCTCTCTGAGGAGAAGTGTGGCATCAGGATTGGTGGAAGATCTATTAACAATCTGCATTATGCAGGTGACACAACCCTGCTTGCTGAAACTGAGGAGTACCTCATGCATTTGCTGCAGAGGGTCAGGGACTGCAGCCTTCAGTATGGACTGGGGCTCAGTGTCAAGAAGGCAAAGATTCTCACCACTGGACCAATTGGCAGCATCAGGATGGATGGCAAGAGATTGAGATTGTTAACAACTTTAGTTTGCTTTGCTCCACGGTCAGTACTCTTGGTACCAGTAGCCAGGAAATCAAAAAACGTATTGCGATGGGAAAGTCTGCTATTAGGGACCTCTCTCAAGTACTCAAGAGCAGTGGTGTGTCTCTGGAGACTAAGGTGCGTCTGACACAGGCCATGGTCTTTGCAATCACTTGTTATGCATCAGAGAGTTGGGCAACAACTAGGGAGGAGAATTGATGCCTTTGAGCTGTGATGCTGGAGAAGAGTATTGAATGTACCATGGACTGCCAAGAAAACAAACAGATTCATCCTCGAGAGGGTTAAACCAGGCTATGCCTTGGAGGCAAGGATTCTGGGGCTTCATCTGACATACTTTTGACATGTTGTAAGGAGGGACAGGTCCTTGGAGAGGGACATGATGCTTGGGATGGTGGAGGGACAGCACAAGAAGGGAAGGCCCTTTATGAGGTTGATTGATTCAGTGACTGGGGTAATCTGGATGGGTGTGTCAGAGGCAGTGCGATTGGCACAGAATAGAGCAGGGTTTAGGGCTGTTGTACATAGGTTTGCTATGAGTCGATAGCACAGAACAACAGCAACATACAGGGATTACCTTGAAGCCTTATTAAAACAAATTAATTTGCCTTGGTAGGAAGCTCTTGATAAGTAAATTCCATTGCTTTGATGCCTACTTATGACTCTTAAGATGTGCAGGAGCTCTGGTGGCATAGTATAGAGAGAGAATTGCCCTACAAACCATAAGACTGCACTTTGGAGGTTTAATTCTACCAGTGCTCCTTCGAAGAGAAGCAGCAGCCTTCTGTGTGATTTGCAATTTTGATTGAGGGCCAGTTATAAGTTGGAAATGAATCCATGGCAATGAGTTTTGAGGGTTTTTTGAGGTACATGTGTTGAAATGGTAACAGCAGTTTTCGTATATATACACGCTCCTCAGTTACTGTCTTCAGATTCCAGATACCAGGTCATTAAGTGAAAATAATCATTATGTGAAAATGAAGGTTATACAATGGAATATACAGCAAAATGTCATTACAATACTGTATTACAATATTACATAACAACAAAACTACTGAGAATCTTGCATGAGCTAAATTGACACATTGCCTTAAACTGTCACAGCATCACGCTAATATTGCTTGCACTTTAGTGTTCGTCATTCCCACACATTTGTTTACAGAACCATTTATCCATTCATTCCTTGTAGTTGAAATAGGGACTGAATCACAGGTGGCCCTCGAGTGGGTTTTTAGAATCTTGGAGTTGAGTGGGAGATTGCCCATATTTCTCCCATGGAGCAGCTGCCGGATTCAAACCACATGCTTTGGGCAGTGTGGCACTTTATCACTGAGCCATCAGAACTCACTCCACAAAATAGTCGGTAGATATTTTGCTGTAGTTCCGAAGGTAGTGTGTTGTATGATGAGATAATCGATAAGTGAGAGAGTGTGTGTATGTGTAAGAGAGATTAAAGGAGAATCTTTTTGTATACATTTAGCTAGTTATTTAAGGTTTATTTATGTCTTTAAAACCTATTTATACCTTGCTTTCCTGTCTTAAATTTTGTCCCTATTTACTCAACCGTATTATGTGTTGATAGGTTACATAAATACTGTTTTTTTACTGACTATAAAGTTTAAGCTTCAAGAGGACACGAACTGATGTGTCTCCCTCTTCAGTGCCTTATATGCGATCACTTTGGAGTGAAGAGTAGCGATGTTTCTACTTTTGTCTCCATTAGTTACAGATTATGAAATATTCACAAGGAGAAATCTTTTTCTAGACCATTCATGAACTCTATAGAAAGTAAGATTTGATAGTAACTTTCTAGTGATGGAGTGATTCCCCAAGCATGATAATTCTTTTGTTGATAGGGAAGACGAATTTAAGTGATGCATAGACTCAACATCTTTATGTTAATTAGAAAAAAATGAAAACGTAAAATTCTCATTTAGGATCCTAGTTGGTAATGAACATTGTTTAAATACTTTAACAATAACTAATAAAGGATCAGCCTAGAGATATTTTGTGCTGAAGGGAACCATTTGTTTGTAGTTATTGTGTACTCTCGAGTTGAAACTGACCTCGTGAATTTTCAGCAAGCAGTAATCTCGTAGGAGGAGATGGCCCATCTTTGTCCTATGAAGCAGCTGGTGGATCCCAGCCGCAAGTCTTTTGCATTGACAGCAAATTCTTTACCACTAACCCACTAGAGCTCCTTGCAGAAGCTGTTACTACAGTCTTCATTGTAGTTTATATCTCAACATTTAAAAAAAAATCCGACAAAAGACAACTCTAAAATCCTCACCACTGGACTAGTAGGCAACATCGTAATATGCAGAGAAAAAAATTGAAGTGCCCAACAATTTCATTGTACTTGGATCCACAAACAACTCCCATGGTAACAATAGTAAAAAAAATCAACAGATGTGTTGCATTGGGGAAATCTGTTCTTGAGGATTTTTCCAAAGTGTTTAAGAGCAGCATGTCAGTTTAAAGACTCTAATGTGTCTTATCCAAGCCATCGTGCCTTCCATTACTTCCTGTGCTTCTGAAAGTTGGACACTGAATAAGGATGGCAGAAGAAGAGTCAGTACCTTTGAATGTGGTGTGGGAGAAGAGTACTGAATATCCTACAGACTGCCAAAAGAACAAACAAGTCTGTCTTGGAGAAAGTGCAGCCAGGGTGCTACTTAGAGACAAGAGCGTGGAAACTATATGCTTTGAGTATGTGTCAGGAGGGCCCAGTCCTTGGAAAAAACACATCATTCTGGGAGAGGTGAAGAGTCAGCAAAAGAGAGGAGATTAATAATAACAAGATAGATCAATGATGGGTTTGTGCACATCATGGATTATGATGATACGGTGCAAGATAGGATATGGTTCAGATCTGCTGTTCATAGGGTTGCAGTCTACCTGACAACACCAGACAACAACATCTCTAGGGCTGGAGATATAAAAGGATGAAATGTAACTGGAGTGGAGGAGGATCCAACAGGTATGAGAAGAATTGTTTTAGAGATGAGATTCATAAGGTAGAAAAGAGCATGGGAAGAAAGATTTCTGTTTTTCCAATCTCTTCTTATCTGTCTACTGGAGCTCTGGTGTAGCCAGCAGAGGCCTCTTTACAGATTCCAGTCCACTAGTGGATCTTCAGGGGAGAAAGATGTACAGTCTCTTCCCATGCCATTTACAGCTTTGTAAATCATCAGAATGGTCTCAGCTCGAGTCAGTTCTGAGACAAAGGCAATGAATTTGAAATTTTTTTAGGGTTCTCTTTCAAGTTCTCTTGGAAGTTGTTTTGTGATGCAGTCTATAGGGACAGCATACAAAGAATGGGGTTACCACAAGAGATCTGTGATTTTATATACACTATTATATAAGACATGTTAGATTTAAAGGAAAACATTAAATAATAGCACACTTAAAAATAATGCCTAAACTCTGTGAAATAGAGTGCAATAGATACCATTATGTAGCCTCCACCATGTGTTGTAAATTCTAACCTGTGGGTTTAATTGCATTTGGGAGTGGAATGTCTTTGATATGTCAGTGATACCTCTTAGCATAGGGTTTTTATCTTGAGTTAATCTCTTGTTAGAGATAAAGTAAACAAATGAACAGAGCCAAGGTAATGAAAGATTGATAACAAAGCACATGAAAATTACCCAGGAGTACAGGCAGTGCTCTTCCTCTAGAGTTGATATAGAAAGCCTTCTCGTTGAACTGGGCACCCTGAATTGAGACGTTTATCCATCCAAACTGGAAAAATAAATTTATTTGCTAGAGACACCAATTATGTTATTTCTCTTATCACAGCCATAGATAACTAACTCTGCTGAGCCAACTTATAGTTGTTCTTCCATTTGGTTTGTGTACCTGTAAATCCCACAGGAGGAGAGTGCCCATCTTTCTCTCACAGAGCCCCTGTAGAATCAGACTGCCAGAGAATCTTGACCTTTGAGTTAGCAGTGCAGCTTGACATGTACTACACCACTAGAGTTCTGTAGATAACATGGAAATATATAGAGAACGATTCTGTGAACTGTATTGTCTTTAGCACAGTCCAGTATGGTTTCTTTCTTAGTTTCCTAGGATTGTGGTAAGCCACAAAGTGGGTGGTTTAAAACCACTGAAATTTATTCTCACAGTTCTAGAAGCAGTATCTGAATTCCAGCTGTTGGTAAGATCTTAATCTCCCAGAAAGCTTCTGAGGAGATCCTTTCCTTCTAGCTTCTGGTGGCCCTAGGAGTTTGTGTTCCTTGGCTTTTGGATCTTTGGAGTTAGCCTGCCTCACCAGTGTCAGCATCTCTGTCTGATTTTGTAAGACATGACTCAGAAGACTCCTGCTGTGGCGTAGTCCCTAGGAAGCTGTGCTGCTAACCTAAAGGCTGCCCTTTGACCAGTGGTGGGAGAAAAATGGACAGTGTCCTTAAGCAACTTAGACCTTCATAAACCCAGTGGACAGTCAGCTATGAGTTAGTTTAGATCCAGTGGCACTGAGTTTTTGTTGTGTGGTGGTTCCTTCTTCCCCCCCCCCCCGTACTCTGGTAAAACTTCCTCCTAACTGATAGCATCTTCAAAGAAAACTCCATTTTTAAAGTCATACTCACAAGTACAGGATTAGGACTTCTCTGTCTTTTTGGTGATACAGTTCAATTTATAGCAATTATGGCAAAATATTTCCTGATTTGGTTTAAAATATTTTTACTAAATTTTAATTGTGTGGCTAGAATTCTGCGTGCATGTGTTTACCAGAGAATTGAAGCATAAAGCTTTGTTGTGTGTTTTTTTTTTTTTACCTTCCCTAAGAAAAGGTTCTCTGCTGATTGCTGTTCCAGTCGTTTTTGGATGATCTTCCGTAGAATCTTGCTTGCATGTGAAATCAATGATATTCTATAGTTTCCACACTCTTTTTTGGGATGGGAACTAATATAGACCTCATCCAGGCAGTTGGCCAAGTGGTTGTTCTCCAGATTTCTTGGCACAACTTGGTGAGCACATCCAGGGCAGCATCTGTTAGCTGAAATATGTCAATTGGTATA